GGGGAAAAAGTACTAAAAATTTTAAATACAACCTTTTATTTTCCCCCAGTTTTTCCCTAAATTACAGGTAGATAGGGGGAAAATTTTTTAAACGACTGGGAAAAAAAAAACACAAGGGGGCCCCGTAAGGGTAAAATTAAATAATTCTTTTAAAAGAAAAACCTTGGTGGTTTTTGACATTAAAAGGGGCAGGGAAAAAAAAAGAAATTAAAAAATTTAAAATTAAAAATAAAGTTTTTAAAAAAAAAAAAATAAAATTTTCATTTGGAAATTGGGGGAAAGTTAGGTTTCCCCCAGCGAATTTAAAAAAATAAAAACAATATCCCCCCCCCGTTTTTTTATAAACCCCATATTTTGGAAAAGGAAATTTTGAAAAGTTTTTTTACAAATGTATTAAAACCGGAGAAAAACAAGTGTACAAGTTAAAAAAATTTAAAAAAAAAAAAATAATTTAATTTTTTTAAAAATAATAAAAATAATAGTAAAGTGTGGCAGTGTGGGTAAGTCTTGCCCTCACACCCACCCTACACCCACCACCCACCCTACACCACCACCCACATACTGCAAACTTGGTTCATATAAATACATCTTGCATATTACTGGCACCAGCAAGAGAAAGGTAAAGTGGAAATCAGTTTTCTTCCTTGGCATACAGAGTGTAGTAGGATACAGACAGGATGTCAACACAGCATATCTGTGTGACATGTAAAAAATTCCTAGGAAGGAAATCCAGAATCACATGCAATCTATGCTTTTCCAAACACCATATCTCTTGTACTATACTAAATACAGCCTCAAAAAATGACCTCGAACTAGCAAGGATTTCTGGTTGTGCAATAAAGATGTAGAACTTTGGGCAGGTATCAGAAAGGTACTAAGGAGAGTAATAAATGATAAAAATAATCAAGAAAACAAAGATGAACTCTTGGATAGTCTACCAAAAATATATAAAACATGGGAGCATGAGATAGTGTATTAAAAAAATGCAGAATGCCCATACCACAACAGATGACTCGAAACTATCTAGTCACCCACATAGTGCTAAACCAGACCCATCCCCCAGTCAAAGCACTAATACCAACAGTGCTGGTGCTGGCCCAGGCTCAGCCCCCAGCCCCAGTGCTGACTCAGACCTAGTCCCCAGCCTTACTGCCAGCCCAGACTCTACTAGGGACCCTACCACAACCACCACTAAAACCGTAAATATACAACCATCATTGCACAAGACCGTGCCCCACAGTACAGATGTTGGAGAGGAGTCTCCTCCTCCTTCCTCTACTGAGGAAAGTAGATGGAATCCAGGATGGGGTGGCCCTGGCTTGGATATTGAGGATTATAGTGCAGTCCCAGAGCCTGCAGAAATTGACAACACACCTCCCAACAATTCTCAACCAAAGGTGAATTTGTGCAAATATTATGCTTGGGGCATCTATAATCATGGAATATCAGGAAAAAAATATGGGACATGCAACTTTGAGCATCCCAAAAAATGTAGCAACCTCCTGTCTAAAGGAGTGTGTCGTTCTTCTTCCTGTACTTTCTTTCACCCAAAAATGTGTCACTCCTCGGTCCTCCAGAAGCAGTGTTACAACATCGACTGCCCTGCATACCATCTAAAAGGGACCAGGAGGCACAGACCCCACAAGACAAACAATAGTAGCTACGACAACCCAACTCCAGGTGATTTTTTAGTGGCAGGAAACGGAAAAAGAAAATGGAAGGAAATAACAAAAATAGTCCACCACCTTGGAGCCTTGTTGGACTGGAGGCGCAGCCAGTGGCCACCCATGGCCCTCCAGAATTACAACTACTGATGCCAATAACAAAATCTCCCCAACAAACACAGAATACAACCTCGTTCATATTTGCTAATATACAGGTTACAACATTTTTAGATGCGACAGAATGAACAGGCAACAAGGGGGGGTTGGCCTGTATGTCAAAGAGTCTCTCATCTGCACGGAGTTGCTGAACACCAGAAATGAGGTAGTTGAAGTTCTATCAATAAAGATCGAGAACCAAAACCTAGTCATTGTGGTTGTATGTAAGCCACCGGATGCATCCTCACAACAGTTCAAGGAACAGCTACTGAAAATTGATTACTGTCTGGAAAACCTTCCAGCTCTATCCCCAAACATCTTACTGCTTGGTGATTTCAACGTAAGGCATACAAAATGGAAGAATGTAGCAAATAATGTTATAGCTGAAACAATCCCCAGAGGTAGCGCAGATGAAAGGTCACACACACATGAGCTACCTAGTCTCTGCAAAAAACACACCTTAAGCCAGCAGATAGTGGGGCCAAGAAGACTAGAAAACACACTTGACCTTATCTTCACAAATAATGAGGACCTGATAAGAGACATAAGAATATCAAAAACAACTAACTCCAATCAAAACCTAATCGAGTCCAGACATACATGCATAGGGGTCCTGATCAGCAGAATGCATGTACCTGTGAAGGTATCTTCACAAAATAAAAACTTCAACAACAAGAAATCAAAAAAGGGACCCGGTAAACCTGTCCTAAACGAAACATGTTGGGAAGATATCTTAAAGACATGGATCCAAACCGCGTCTTGAAATGATCAACTTCCTGGGAGCTGAAGCATGTTCTAGGCATATTCCCCTAAGAAAGAAGAAGAGCAGGAGTAAACTGGAGGGAGAAAGACGCTCCCTCTACAGAATACGAAGAAGCGTCACTGAGCTCCCTCAGGAGTGTAGAATATCTGATACACGAAAGGAGGCGCTGACCAGGGAAGTGGAAACTATCGAACTTAAGTTTAAAAGACTCTTACAGGAACCAGGAGAGACAGGAGGAGCTTAAAGCTTTAGTGAAAAATTTAAAAAATTCAAAATATTCTTTTCATATGCCAAAAACAAGGCAAATATCACATCTAGTATCGGGCCCTTACTCAGACAGGTGAGACTTACAAGATGACAACAAGGAAATGAGTGAAATATTGAAATCCCAGTAAGACTCTGTGTTTAAAATGAACCACTAATCGGTCTGAGGATCGACAACCCAAATGATTTCTTCATGAAAGAGCTCAAAACTCCATAAATGTATGCCAGATTTCCGACATTACCCTAACGCTGATAGATTTCGAAAAAACCTTTGACAAAATGCCCATGCACTCAGCCCCGGGCCCAGACTCGTTGGAACTCTGTTTTCATTAAGACTGCAAGAAACCCCTCTCGTGTGCCCCAAGTACACTATGGAGGAGGAAACTTGGACATGGGTGAAATTCCACAGTCACTTAAAAAGACGGATATAGCCCACTCCTAAAGGTGGCAGCAAAGCATTAGCTAGAAACTATAGACAAATAGCTCTGACGTCCCACATCATAAAAATCTTTGAAAGGTGTAAGAAGCAGGATTGCAAATCACCTGGATTCCCAAAATCTGCACAATCCAAAGGGAACATGGGTTCAGGGCAGGTCGCTCCTGCCTCTCACAACTACTGGATCACTATGATATGGCCTTGGATGCACTGGAAGAAAATCAGAATGCAGATGTAATATACACAGACTTTGCAAAAACATTTGACAAATGCGATCATGGAATAATAGGCCATAAAATACGTGCTAAAGGAATAACTGGGAAAGTGGGGAGATGGATCTTAAAACTTCCTAACAAATCGAAACAAAGAGTAGTGGTCAACAGAGTTAATCGGAGGCTGCCATAGTGAAGGCTCTGTTCCACAAGGCACAGTACTCGCCCCCATCTTATTCCTCATCCTCATATCAGACATAGACAGAGATATACATCGCAGCACCATATCAACCTTTGCGGATGATACTAGGATCTGCATGAGGCTGTCATCTGCTGAGGACGCGGTTAACCTCCAAGAAGATATAAACAAAGTTTTCCAGTGGGCAACGGTAAACAATATGATGTTCAATGAGGACAAATTCCAACTACTCCGTTATGGAAAACTGGAGGAGATAATAACTAGAACAGAGTATACTACAGACTCTGGCCATACAATAGATCGGAAAAATAATGTAAGGGATCTGGGAGTAGTAATGTCTGAGGATCTCACTTTCAAGGATCACAAGAGTGCCCCGATCGCACGTGCAAAGGGAAATGATAGGATGGATAATGAGAACGTTCAAAACGAGAGATGCAAAGCCAATGATGATCCTTTTCAAATCACTTGTTCTCTCTAGGCTGGAATACTGCTGTACATTAACATCTCCATTCAAAGCATGTGAAATCGCAGATCTAGAGAGTGTACAGAGATCCTTTACTGCACGTATAAGTTCTGTCAAGCACCTTAACTACTGGGAACGCTTGGGAAACACTTGACTTGTACTCGTTGGAACGCAGGAGGGAGAGATATTTTCATAATCTACACTTGGGAAAAATCATGGAAGGAATGGTCCCAAAATGCACACAGAAATCACTCCCTACGAAAATAAAAGACTGGGCAGGCGATGCAAAATGCCCCAATAAAAGTAGGGGCCCCATTGGGTTTACACTATGGGAAAACATCATAAGTGTCCGGGGCCCAAGACTGTTCAACAGCCTCCCATCAAGCATTAGGGGAATTGCCAATAAGCCCTTGGCTGCTTTCAAGAGAGAGCTGGACAGATACCTAAAGTCAGTGCCGGATCAGCCGGGCTGTGGCTCGTACGTTGGACTGCGTGCGGCCAGCAGTAACAGCCTAGTTGATCAGGCCCTGATCCATCGGGAGGCCTGGTCATGGATCGGGCCTCGGGGGCGTTGATTCCCGGAATAACCTCCAGGTAACCTCCAGGTAGCCAAAATACATAACTTAATCCACTCAAGCGTAACCTAATCCAACATTACCAAACCTAACATAACCTAAATGACTTAACCTAATTCAAAATAAGGAAAATAGTTTTTAAAGAGAATAGAAGTGTTAAAAATTGATCTTGAACACATCATTGCAATAGTGATATAAAAAATGAGGATAAGTTGGTAACTAGGCCAACCAATGGCATGGGCTTGTATATTGCAACTTTCACCCATAGGAGGGTATCGCATTCCGGCCGGTACACCAGTCATGATCATCATCTATCGCCTCCACCGCGACCCTGACCAGTTCCCAAGCCCGGAAGCGTATGACCCTGACCGCTTTTTATTGGAGAACACCATGAAGCGCCATCCCTACGCCTACATTCCCTTCAGCGCCGGCCCCAGGAACTGCATCGGTGAGAGAACTTATACCCTTAATTTTTTTTAAAAGATGGACCTCTAAACCAGAGGAAAGACTCAGTCAGATGACCAAAAGCTCCAGCTGCCGGTTATCATATGACTAAGACCCGCGTCAGGAAACACTTGTCCTGTTTCCTGATGAACCTTATCTAAGCTAACCTGTATCGGTGAACTTATAACAAATACAAAATTCCTTTTAAAGGGGAAAATTTTTTAATTTTTAAAAATTAATATTTTATTATTACTTTATTTTTTATTCTAAATTGTTGTTGATATTATTATTGCATTCACGGTAGCGTTAAACCACGGGAAATTTAAATACAGAATCATGGGAAATGGGGGAGACAATCGGGGTTGGGGAAAAAAGGGGGGGGGAGGTCAGACCAAACTTCCTCGTATCAAGACCCCCTTCATCATTTCATGGACTCTGTATGGTTAAATGAAATTCCCCTTTTGATGGTGAACGGCTTGGATCCAGTATCGGAGTTTTTCCTCCCTTTACATGAACCCAAATTTCTTATTACATCCTTTCCCTGGGGGCTGATGGCCCGAACGGGTTTAGAAAACCCCCCTTTGGGACGTTTTGGATGATAAGGAAGATTTTGCTAATGATAATAATATTAAAATTACATGCAAAAAATTTTGGGACAGTGTGGGAAAATTTGCATTTATTGAATGCAACAATTATGTACTTAACAGAAATTGAAAAAAAGAATTTTTATTTATAAAATTGTTACATAGAAAAAGTGGGAAATTTTGGGGACACCTGGTCGCAAAAAATGCCCCCCCTTCGATCCCTTTCCCATGTCATAACCGCAAGTTGCTGGGGACCTTTTAAATTTTAAATGAATTATACATCAGGAATTCGGGGTAAATATAAAAAATTTGGGGGACTGTATTTTAAAAAAATGTTTTATATATAAACACAATTACATAAGGGAAAGGGAAAAATTTATATCTTAATACCCCTCACCAATTTGACTGGATTTTAAAGTTTTTTATATACCAAAAAAAAACCTCACTAAAAATTTTTTTAAAACAGGGCCAAAATTATAACAAATCTAGAGGGGCTTATCTAGGTTCCTGGAGCTGTCTTGCCCAAAGTCGTCTGATATCTCAAGTTAGGGCGGGAATTGCAGGGCCAAAAATTTTCCCCTTTCCCCTTTTCGCTAAGGGGTTGTTTTAAATTTCAAAACCAAGTTTGGTCGGGCCCCTTTGGCAGAGGGCTGGCTTTCCGTTTTCTAGAAATAAATAAAATTAAAACAGTAGGGAAATCAAATTAAACATATAAATACTAAATTTTTGGGAAAAATTTATACAGTTTTTTCCCACGGGCCCGGATTAATAAAAAAATTAATAAAAATTTAATAATAATAATAATAATAATAAAATTAACGTCTCCCTGGATAAAGGGAAAGAGACAGAGGCTGCCCAAAGTTTCCCTTTAAAACAAAAGAACTGTGATGGAAATAAAGCTGTTTTCTTTTTCACTTGAGCAGTGTAACTTTTCGTTTTTCCCCTATTTCCATTCCCTTTGGACCAGTTCTTTCCCTACTTAAATTACCTTTGTGACCATTTCCCTTTCCCCCTACCCCCTTCCTTTTTGTGACCATTTAAATTCCATACTTATTACCTTTGGGGGCCAGTTCTTTCCCTACTTCATTCCCTTTTTTGTGACCATTCTTTTCCCTATTTCATTATCTTTGTGACCTTTTCTTTTCCCTCCCTTATTACCTTTGTGACCGTTCATTCCCTACTTTATTCCCTTTGTGACAGTTCTTTCCCTATTCATTACCTTTGTGCCCAGTGTGGAAAAATTTTTTCTCCAGGGGGGGGTTCAGCCCCCTTCACCCCCTTTTCAGCCTTTCAGCCCTGAGGGGCCCAGCCCTTCAAGAAGGGGAAAAGAAATCTTGTTTACGATACAGGGGAATTTTGTTTACCCGATGCCAGATGAGTTTGGGGCGTGGTAAAGCGACCGCTGTCCTTGCAGCCCCGGTTGCGAGGGGATTTTAAAAAGGACAGTACATTTTCTTCCCTTTGGGAGGAAAATTTAAAGGAAATCCGGGCTCCCCTTTTTCCTTTGGAAAAAGATAGTGTACTTTTGTCTATGCTTTAAGACAGCAAGAAAAAAAACTTTTCTGTTTTGGGCTTCATGAGGAAGTGGAAAGGGAAAGCAAAAAAGTACTAGGGTCAGCTTTTCCTTTGGGGCAAGGGGCAGTAATGGCGTGGGGGTTTGTGGGTTTCAGATTACTTTTGATTTTACTGAGAGGGACACTGACGCCAGGAAAAACCAACAAAAAAACAATCTGTGGTTAGTGTAAAAAAGGTCTCTTTAAAACCAATAAAACACTTAAGGAAGTGTGATCAGCTTTTTTAGTGATAAGATTGTGAACAAAAAAGAAAAATTTTTGTGGAACATAGTTTACCAGTGTGCGTATTCCTGACTATGGAAAAAAGTGGACCCCAAGGGACACTTAACTTCTATAAAGTCACAGATACCTGTCGAAGGTGTAAAGAACCCCATAGCTCACCCCTACAAGAGCAAGGTGGGGTTACGAATTTTTGTAGTACGGGGGTTTTGCGCAGTTCTTGAGTCGAAAAGGTTTGTAACCCAACCCTATAGTAGGCGGGAAAGGGGCGGCCCTTTGAGTCCACACAAGAAATTTTGTAAAGCCATCAGTGAATGAAATATGGGGACATACACCCCCTGGGGGGAAATTTTATAATTTAAAAAATTATAACTCTTTACAGCCCATCTTGTGGCTTACCCGCTTCTTTTTTAATTTTTTTTAATAATAATAATTTACACCCATTGGAGAGGATTGGACGTTTCTAAAGACCTGGGTTTTGCAGGGAGGGCCCCTTTGTGCAGTCGATGAGCTGTCTTTCTAATTTAAATTTTCCCCTTTTAAACTTAGTTTGGATAATACCATTTTCTACTTTTTGGGTCGTTTGGGTTTTCCAAACGGAAAATTTAAAAACCAAAACCCCCCCCCCCCCCCCCCCCCCCCGGGCCCCCCTTCTTTTTTTTCCATTCCCCCCCCCCCCCCCCCCCTTCCCCCCCCCCCCTTTCAAAAAAAAAGCTTTTTAAAAATAGTTTTTTTTACTTTTTTAAATCAGTAAAAAATGGGCCCTCCAGATCAATCACAGGAAGGGCAGCCAAAAGAAAACGAGGGGTCCCCCAGCGTTCCCCCAAAAAGAAAAGGGAGTGGGTGACCCCCCCAAAAAGGAAAAACGGGGGGAGGGGCCCCCGGCATCCACTGCCCCAAAAGGCCAAAGAAAGGCTTGTTTAAAAGGACAAAACAACCCAACTGATGTTCGGTTTGTTGAGTGTATATACCCCATTTGTTTAAAATGTTTATGGGGCAAAAATTTAAAAGAGACAAGATTTGTTAAATTTTTTTTAAAGGGATTTTAACCTGTTTATTTTAAAAAGGAACTTAATAAAAAATGTAATTTTTTAAAAATACAAAATTAAAAAGTGACATTTTTATATGTGAAAGTTAATATTCGTGTGATTTACAGTTATACGGGACATTTATAGTGTATGTGAAGGGAAGTGTATAACATCGTTTTTTTAATGAAAATCATCGTGGTCAAGTTGACACAGCAAACTAAAACCCAAAAAACACTAACCCATTTTGTCTCTGTTACCCTTCTTTGGTCTTTTAAACCATGGGGTTTAAGCTTGTGGGTCAGTAGTGTCGGGACCCCCGATTATTGTAAATTAAAGGGCCTTTAAAAAAAAACTCAGCTGTTTATAGCAGTACAGTGTTTTTTAAAATACTTAAGTGTGGTGCGGGAAATTTTTCCCTTTATACCTTTAAAAAGGGTTTTGTTTAAAAAACCTCATTTTCCCAGTCTTTAAAAACAAAAGATTAACAATTAAAATCTATTTCCCAATCGGGTATAGGATTAACTCAAATTACAAAATGGGATTTTGATGTTTTGAGGCCCAAATTTAAATTAAACTTACACAACTTTGGGAAAATAATTAATTCGACTATACACATTATAAAAAAAAAATTTCTTGAATCAGATCCTCTGGGGATAAAATTTTAAAAAAATTTTTTTGGATACTTTTAGTAATCAAAAATTAAAGGTGGACAGGAGTACAGGCAAATCTGCCTTTAAAACTCTATCCCCAGGACCTCCGAAATTTAGTTTTTTCAAAAAAACCTGTTACACCTGTAAAAACCCAAACAAGTGTCCATTACAAGTTTAACCTACATTTTTCATTACCTTTTTTCCCAAAGGGTTTCATAATTATGAAGTTTTCTTTTAGTGGTTTTCAATCCTAGTAAATTAAACGAACTGACATAGATGAGTTTTCCCCAAAGTCCAAAAATCTTAAATGCCCTTTGTGAAGGGAAAACCCCTTGAACTGATTAATTCATTTTCCGGTGGTTAAAGGAAATTAAAAAAAAATACCCTTTACGGCCCTTAGCAGAAAATTTACTTCGTTCCCTGACAAGGCTGATTTTAGAATCCCAGTTTAATATCAAGCTTGAAGCCACCCAAAATTGTTTTTCAGACTTCCAGGCATTTAAAAACCACGGGACAATAGTCTCGATCTCTGGGTTTGCTAAATATGCCCTAAGGCAATGTGTTTGGTTTTATCGGGTTGAAATTGTACAAGAAAAGGGTTGTCACCCAAAACAAATTAAAACGTTTTAAATATTATGTTCAAAAAAACCTATTTCACTTGTGGGAAAAATTAGAAAAGGGTTTTTTACAAACAATAGTTTCATGCTTTTGAAAAGCAACGAGACAAGATAAAAAATCCAAAAATCCAGGGGGAAATAAACCTTCCCCTCATTTAAAAAAAGGGGAAAAAAATACCCCCACTAAACCACAAAAAATGGGAAAAACCCCATACAGGATTTTTTAAAAGTGTGAATACAACAAACAGAAAACAAACTGTCGCACAAAAACGTACCCCCAAAAAATGTGAAATTTTGTAGGGAAAACACATAGGCCAGTATTGTATTCAATACACATCAAGGGAGGCACGTAAAAAACGTTTTAATTCAGCAAAAAGGGTGCATCAAGTTTTTGGTGAAAAACAAGGGAGGAAAATTTGCTCACTGAAAAAGGTTTT